TCAATTGCCAACATCAGAATCTGTCTTTTATTTTATATGCAAAAGAGAGCTATTAAAATTGCAGGTACCAAGATGTTTCAGCACAATCTAATTTTCTTTCTTTAAAAAAATTTGTAGTCACATCTGTCATATTGCTCATTCATAAACTGCCTCCCATGTCTAAAAATACTATTCTCTGTTGTGGAGGTAATAAGATTATTACTAACATTTTTGTCCTAGCATTTAAATGTAGGTTCGAAATCTAACTAGATTTATTTATTTATTTTGTGAGTGGCATGCTGGGAAATGTAATTTTGATTATTCTTCTATGGATAATCTTTTCTTCTTGAAACAATCCATGTGATACCCCATCCTTTCATCATTGCTCTTCACTATTACATCATTTACTTATCAAAATTTTACAGATATAAACACTCCCTGTGATCTGTTTTCAATGCCAGAGTTCTACCTCAGGAGTTCAGCCCACCCCATTAGCACACTGTCTTAATCATTTGTGAAGTTACACCAAAAGGAAACTAATTGATGAGAATCAAAATGTTTTTGAAATTAAGTTTTCTCACATGTGAACATGCTGTACCTGTATTATGCATTTCTTTAGACTTTTACAAATGTCTGTTATCCATGTGTGTCTATTACCTTATTTTTACACTTTTATCTGTCAAATTTAGATCCCCAAACTATTATAAAACACATGGTATTTGAAGCAGAAAGAGATTAGGTGCCTATAAACTGTTAGAAGGGCTGACGGAACAAATGTCAGAAAAGACCAGCACTAAATCTTAGACTAACAGCCAGCTTTCAAGAGTTAGAAACTGTAAAAACCAGAGCAAACTGGCAGCGCCAATCTTAGCTCTCAGCACAGACATATCAGGTACTAACTAAGAAAAGCATTTAGGGCCACTGCAGCTGGGAGGGCGATGATAAGCTGTCAGATTTTCCAACTCTTTTGCTATCTTGTGTTTCTAGTTGAGTGTCTCCTAATTCTGAATCTTTCTGGCAAGTTTGCTAAAAAATGCAGTTATTTGGCACCTAGACCCTTGAATGACTAGAGAAACAAGAAAGAGGAAACAATGCTTTTGGCCAACACAAACCATAGTGCAGTTTTAGTCGTTTTTTCAAAAAAATAAATACATAAATTATGAATGGGAGGTATTTTATTATTATTCCATTCTCCATAACTTAGAAAATTGGACCATTTTTCTATGTTAACCTTACATTCCACAACAGTCCCAGGATGCATATATATTTGACACTGGGACTGCCTTATTCCAAGGCCTGCAATCTTTCCTTTTGTCGAAATCACCTCAAATGACTTAGCAAATGTGACAGTTTTTAGGGAAAAGTCTGTTTCTTGTTAATCATTTGCCTAGGATTCGTCCTGTATATTAGACTTAGTACAGAAAGACTAACTGAATTTCAGACCCACTTACTGATAGAAACAGAGTCCCTCATATATTTTGCAAGATAGCCTTGAGGTATCTAGGCAACTGAGCATTCAGGCTGAGGGCTTCTACTGCTGGCATGCAAGCAACAGAAACTTTATTACGTTTGAAAACTGCTGCAGAAAAGTAATTTTGGTTTTTGTTTTCCATGTTCAGTCTTCCTTGGCATTTAAAGGTATCAGAAAGCCTGACACAGCTGAAATGTTTCTATGACTCTCGAAATAGGGATATTTAATAGAAGTTGCTATCTGCAGGGCAAGTGTCATATATGAGGCATTTGCATATATTCACATTATTCTAAATACCTGAATATTTGCAATGTGTGAGTATCTTGTAACATGCTAGTAAAACTCAATAAAGCGTAGGCAGTGGCACATTATCACACTGAATATAATTACTTTCCCCCACTCTTGCTCTAGGCAAACAGTTTCATCTCACATTCTTAGGGAATCCAACTTGAAAAATATTAATTTCCAACATGTCTTCATTAATAAGCTGATATTAAAAATAATCACTGGTAGCCACTTCAACCCATCCTTTAAACTGTAAGCTAGAGATGAATGCCATCTAAGAAATTCATGCAACTGCAAATTATACAAAAACCCATGCCAACTGATAAATCACTGAAGTCATTCCTCTTTGGTTCACCTATGCAGGTATTTTTGTATAAGACATAAATCAAATTCGCCTATAAAATATTTTAAAATAGCATATTGCAAATGGTAACATTAAATAATAAGTTTTTACAAATGGTAAAATGAAGAAGTTCACAACAGACAACTGAAAAGGAACTAGGATTTATTATTTAATAATAATTTTGGAGGGAACCATCCCTCCTTCCTTGCTGACATTGCGAAAATGTATGTTTTCATTAATTTAGACACAAGCCCCTGAAGGACCATAGTGGGCACTTAAATTTTTAGAACAAGATCTCCAATATTCAGCCAGAGCTGTCTCCATGTAACTTCCACATTATTTTAAGTGGGGACATTATTTTAAGGGCCACGCTGTCAATATAACAAGCTGCAAGGCTGTTAACATACACAATACACGCTGCAACTACTGTGCATGAAAATGTTGCCTTTTATTTCAAATCCCTGCAATTTTCAAGACCACTAGTGATGAAAATTAATTTTTTTTTTAAATTGGCAGGACATCTCATTCTATTTTTATCAGCTGTATACTCTATAGTTGCACACATTGATACCAAGGACTAAAAACTTTTTTTTTCTTCATTAGCTGATAAGAATTCTGCCAATTCTGAAAATCCATAAACCTAGAGTCACTCAGCTCTTCTCTAATGGAATGAAGCTCTTTGTCATGGAACTGAGCCAGTGCTTACCAGATAGAGTTATGGAAGTTATTGAGTGAAACATTTCATTCCCAGAGACTGAACTCAGGACCCCTTTTAATATATGTTGCCTTTTATTATGGCAGGAATTTAGTTGATTGTATCAAGATGAAACTGTCAGTGTCTCCCCTGGATGCTTTTAGTAGTTGTAGTGACAGATTAGGTGCAAGTATAGTACATGAATGAAATGGGACTTTATTTAAAGTGACACTGTGAGTCCACGCTCATCAGAGTCATCAATTCTAATTCACTTATGTCTTTTTGGAGTGCTCACTCTATCTCATTTGATTCAATCGCTTCCCATTCTACCAATATGCTTTTCAATTAGCTGGATAGAGCAATAGCAAGAGTGGCATAACAAGAGTGAACCATGCTCTGCCAAACCTGTTCCTATAGGTTCCCAGTACAGTTAAATTAACTCTACATCTTCAACTTGAAACCTGGATTGATTAAAAGGTTGACAAAAAGTCTCTTCTCAAAAATTAATTAGAGTTCTGTTGAATGACATAAATTTAATATAATTCAGCTGGTAATTGATAGAATGCACCATTTCACAGGTGGCACAGACATTTACCCCATTCTATTTCCATCTGCTGGTATGTCTACCATAAATTCAAATTGTATATCCATCATCCATCTGGAAGTGAGCATTAGATCCCAAATCCTTTTACCTACAGCTGCTATGCTGTACTCAGTTGTCTTTCTCTGAAAATGTCAGAGAAACCATAAATAAACTGTTTCTAACATTGAAAAATTCAATTAAAGTGCTTAAATATATTTATCTCTGGTATTCACAGACATTATAGCGGTAGAAAGTTAATACAGAGTATGGTTTGTTAAAAGTGATATAGTCATTAAAAGTTAAAGAAAAAGTCATTACACAGAGGAAAAATACCTTCTGACATAAGTATACATCATTTGTAGACAGATGAAAATCGATATTTTAATTACATTTTGTATATGTAACCTATTCTGAAATAATTATTGCTCTAATAGACCATGATGGCAAAATTTGGCTGAAAATCTGCCTACTGTCAGAATATCAAAGGGATTATTTACAGGGAATTTACTGCTATTCATGATTTAGGATTTCACTGTCAAAGACTTTTATCTATTTCCTTATGTTATCTCTCCCTATATAGTCCAGTTTTAGGGAAAATGTAAAATTCATTTTTTTCATAAAGTTAATTCAAGGATACCTGGTGTAGTCAGGATATTCGACAAAAATAACTGATATTATTTCATGCAGTGAATTAAAGGAACTTGAAATGAAAAATATTCTGCATCAAACTCCCAGTATTTGTATATGACTTACTGAACTGTTGTATATGACTTATAGACACTGTTCCCACTATTTCATTCTCCCACAGAACTGCTCTCAAATTTAGATAAATTTTCCTTCTTAAACTACATATTCAAGCCTAAAGAAACTGAAAGCATGTAGTAGGCTGAGGAAAATAGTTTCCAATATTTTTGATCAATTAACTTGAATTGACATTACAAATAAGTAGATACATATTTGGCAGCTTTTACATGGAACATAATATTGTCAATATTTCATAAACAATCAACAAACCAGGATAAATAATTCTATATCTAAAATAGATCGATCTCCTTGGTTGATTATTCAAAATTACATATAAATATTGTAAAGTAGCACAGTCTATATGAGATAATCTTTTGGTGTGCATAGTCATGAATATTAAACATGTACATAATGAATTTAACAATATTTAATATACCAATATTAAAGGACTATTGCCAAATTATGTAATGGTCAATATGATTCAAAAGAGATGCAATTAATATTACTGGTTTCAGTTGTTTTATATTTTTTGAGAACAATATCATGAAATAAGAGGTTATATCAGAGTATTTTTTCCCTTACACCTTTAGCAATTTAATACAATTTGTGTGTACTTGTCATGCTTATACCAAAATAAAAATTTAATGGGAAAAATATTTGACTATCTAATTTTAATGTTATTTACGGAATATTGTAAACTATGTTTCCTGACACAAATCTTCCATGTAAATCTTCAATTTAAATATAAAACACTTACTTGAGTATATAAATATTAAGCTTTAGCATATTGAGCTATTTTTAATGGCTTCATTAACGATACTAGATTTTATGTTTTTTGCTCCATTGACATTCCTTTCAATTTTAAAGGAAGATTAATAACAGACGAGTTTTAACTACTTACACCAAACAGGGTCCGAATAACGAACTTCAAAAAGGACTTCAGAAAGGATATCTTCTTGCAGTAATCATGCAAAAATGATGCTTAGTAGATCTTCAATGGCACTAAATGGCAATCCTATAAGGTGACCTGTTAAGAAAAGGATATACAAGATAGTGATTACATATTTCCTTTCTTGGGCCTCGCTGGTGGCACAAGGGATTAAGCACCACACTATGAAGCAATCCACGGCCTCTGCAGCATGAGTTGGATCCCCAGCCGGCCAGGGAGCAACCCACATGGCACAGCAGACCTCTCCTGTCTTGCCCGCTCCACCCCTCAGCGGTGTATTTCAGTCAGTCTGCCTGTTCTGTTCCCAACCCTGTCTCTGGTGAATCCTCTCACCCTCCTGTATCTCTGGCCTATACCCCAGCTCTTGTAGGCATAAATAAATAAAGCTTTAGAAAAAAAGTATGTTTGAATGAAGTCCACCTTTCATATTAAGCATTTTTATCAAGTTTCTATTTAGTTATAAGGGAAATGACTATGCTTAACTCATATCAACATAATTGTAGCATTTCTAATTAATTTGTTTCTTAACAATTATTTTCCCATTGCATTTTGTATTTATTAATAAACACCTAAGCATGTCACTCACTAATCATGTCACTCACCTAAGCATGTCACTTAACATATCATCCAAAGTCAACAAAAAATATTGTGCTAAACTACGTTATGCCAGAGGTACTTAACAGAGATTTGCAGAACAGACTATCCAAAAGCAGCAAAATGCACATCCTTCTAAGAGAACATAGAGCATTCTCCATATGAGATAAAATATCAGCCCACAAAACAAGTTTTAACAAACTTAAGAAGAGTAAAATCATATCAAGCATGTTGTGCAGCTACAATTGTGTGAAGCTACAAACCAACTGCAAGAAGAAAACCAGAAAATTCACAAGAAAGTGGAGGTTAAATGACATACTTCTGAAAAAAACAATAAGTCAAGTAAGAAATCAAAAGAGATATCCCAGTAGTATCATTATTACTTAGTAATGGTGTGGTGTGACTTCTTTTTTTAAATATGGACTCACAGAAAATTAAATGAAATAATGCATAGAAAACTTTATCAACATGACTAACATATTTTGAACATTAATAGATATCAATAGCTATTCTATTATGATTCCCACTTTAATTATCAATTAATACATCTAAAGAAGAAATTATAATGAGCAGTAGTACGGTTCTTGTTTTCAAATTTCCTCAGATTTGTTTCTCTGGAGCAAAGCCTTTGAATCAAATGTTCTTAGTAAGCTCATGTGTGTACTTAAGCTAGCATGTTGTGGTGAAGAAACTACTCCATCTGCAGTAAGTCAGATTTCCTCAGGCTTCTGCCATTAACTTTGTTCTTGAGCAAGCCATTTAGCTTGTCTAGCAGGTGCCTTCAAATGGGAATAATGATGCCAAATCCTCTGTCTAATCCAAGGATTATAATAAAACTCTAAAGAAATAACAGGTGAGGAAGTTCTTTCTAAACTTACTTCCATTTATGTTATTCCTGTATATCTCAAGATGCACTTATGAAAGACGATGGCCTTTATCATCCTATATTTTTCTTTCCAGTTCATCTGAAAATAGAGCAAATTTCAACAAGAAATTCTAAACGACTCGTTAGTCAGGCTGGGGACTATATTTTTTGCCTTATTGCAGAATGACTACAATGTAATTAGCTTTTAATTTTGTATTTCTAACATGCTGATGACTAGGAAAGCAAACAAAATTAAACAAACAAAAAACAAAAAACCCTGATTGAACCTTAAACTAATGTTTAATCTTTGTGAACAGCATATTAACTCCAAGGCAGTTCTGACTGTCCCATCCCTGTCCACCTACGAAGATCTCATTTTCATATTAAAATTCCCATTGAGACATGAGATAAGTTTTACAGACAACTCCAAAAAGATTTAATGAATTTGTGCTTTTATTTCTTTGGAACCTTATTAACACTCTCTCATTAGAAGTACTAGCTGGCAGGAAATAATATATCAGTTTTTTTCCTGGAATCCTTAAGCCATCTAAAGTAAGAATTCTTATAATGCAATTTAAAGTACACATTAAAATACACACAAACTCTCTCTCACATACACACACAGGAAGATAGAATTTAACTGTGTGGCACAGGCACCCACTTGTGAGAATTTTAGAAGGAGTAATTAATGAAGATTCAAACCTCACATGTCTGGGATGACTATAAACAATAGCAGGATATTCTTACTGTCACAAACCTAGTCTTTCAGACTGTTTAACTCTTGAAATATCCTTACTTACACGTGAAAAACTCAGTCGACACTTCTGGTCTTGCTATTCCCAAGCTCAAAGCCCTCTATGGCTTCCAGTACAATATCTATGCCCTCTTTATTTTTTTTAAGGATTTTTTTAAAGATTTATTCATTCATTCATTCATTTATTTATTTATCTATTTGTTTATTTATTTATTTATGCAAGCACTGGGCACAGTCAGAAGCATGGGAGGGTGAGAGAATTCACCAGAGCCAGAGCAGGGAGCAGAGCAGGCAGAAGGACCAAAGTACACTGCTGAGGGGAGCAGTGGGCATGGCAGGCAAAGTCTGCGCTCCATGTGGGACCCTCCCTGGTTGCCAGGGATCGAACCAGCACTGCAGAGGCTGCAGCCAGCTTTGCAGCCCAGCGCTCAACTGCTATGCCACCAGAGGAGGCCCTCTATGCCCTCTTTAACTTGCCAAAGACCACATGCTTTCCATGCAACCACTCAGTCTGGGCAGTGCAGATGAAAAAGTTGGAAATAATTTGTGTTGGCTCCAGCATTTGCCATGGACAAAAAAATCGGGACCTGTATGCTTTAGGCTGAAATCCTCCTGACCACACTTCTCCCTATAGATGGATGTGCCACCATCTAAAGATATGTGGAGTCACCACCCTACACATAAACCCTGGAATAATTTTGTGAAAGCAGGCACCTTCATAACCAGATCCAGTGCTCAGAGCATGACCCTATTTGCTGTCTTTGGAATTTTGCCTGCAAGAGACTTGAAGGAGACAGGCCCAAGGGATCATCATCAACAGCCATGCCCCATGTGGCAGAACATGGTGCAAGTCACTGAGCTGTGGGACATGGTACATGGCAGCATCTCCAAGGCCACATTCTTCATTTTCTTAACCCCGCATCATCCTTTAACTTATGCCCTATTTTACTCTCACACAATGAAACTATATGCTTCTAATGAGATTTCTATTCTGACTGTCTCTATTTTCACAGCTCCCATTCACTCTTTTTCCCAGGGATAGCTACCTTCATTCACAATATTCCATTTGCTTTCTGGACTTTCGGCATGATTATATTCCTCTCTTAGACTCTTCAGTATGGGATTCATCAAAAATTGATACTAGACATCTTTAACTTCCACTCTGTAATCTCTTCCTATCAAATCCATGATTTCAATACAACACCTATACACAAACAAATTACAAATCTGTAACACTTTGGATTTATCCCATGGATTTCCCAAAGTCAGGTGAAAATCAGCATGTTTAGAACTGAAACCAGGAACTGCATCCACTTTCCCAACAACAGTACAAGAACCCCAGAAAGTTTCCCCACACTCAGCAAATGATTCCACCATCTTCCCAAATGAATAAGACACCTACAGGTCTTAAATCCACTCTGACATATCATTCTTCCTCACTGATTAATTCTGTTATTTACCAAATGATATTTATTCAGTCTCTATTCATGTTTCAGATGTTTGCCTTCCATATTTCCATTATCATGCATGCTTAAAATGAGCATATTTTCTATATTTGCTATAACTTTGGTCTCCCTGAATTGGCCCTGCAGATCCACTTTAAAGTGTTCTTTTTACTGAAGCCAGAATGACAGTTCAAACTGCCAATGAGAAAAATGACTGAATATGAATGATTTTTCCCATATCTATGTTCCTGTACCTGAAATAAATGCAGGAAACCATCTTCAGTGATATGTACACTTTCTGTCCCATTGTGTGCTAGACACGGAGCTAGTTACTGTAAATTTTAAGAATAAGAGAAAGACCTGTCCTTAATCTCTTCCAGTAAGGGAGCAAAACTGGTGAACAGCCAATCTCAGAGCTAAATGGAAAGAGTTATAATGAGGCCATCCGAGCACTATGCAATCACAGGGAAGGCATCCGGCCCATTACTGAATGTTCAGGAGCAAGTGCTTCCAGGCTGAAGAAAATAGAACTGAATCAGGTCTGAATAGCCATAGTTGTGGTCAAGGTGATGAGTTGACTCATGTGGCTAAGGTATCTTTTCTTGCTCCATTCCGGAACTTAAATTTGTTTTCCAGCCCTTTCTGAGAATTAAATTGATTCCATGAGAAAAATAAGAATGATAACATTGGTTTGGAGACTTATAGATACATTAAGTAATATGGTTTACAAAGCACTTCTATCTTTATCATCACTGCTTTTCTGATGAAAACTTTTTTTTTTTTTTCAGAGCACTAGTGAGTAAATAGAATGCAGAATAGTACAATCCAATTTATTTTTGCTATAGATGTGATAAAAGTGCTGTCATTTCTAAGTAGACACTGATCTAGTACCGTGTGGAAGACTGATCAACTAGTCAATTAGTATCAAATATTCTTATCTGTCTTTTCAAGGACCTTTAAAATCTTAACTTTTAAGTGTTGATTATGCTTTAGGGAACTACTGATGATATGCAGTCAATATTTCATGGTAGCAGGTGGATCACCCTAACTCCAGATTAACTACATCCCACTGACACGATTTCTCCCCCAGCCTGCTGCCACCTGTTTGGTACCAAACGCACTCATCTGTGGAAGCTGACAGCTGGTTCTTCAGGGGGAGTGATGGGAGCAGAAGTCAGGTGAAAATGACTCATTAGCAATGAAATGGAAAAAATGTGCAAACCTCCCAGCGGACCTTTTGGATGATGCATAGTTCTTTTCCCCAAGCTTCTCTATCTCTGTCCAACTGAGAGTTGGTAGGGAAAAAAAGTATGTGTTTGATTCTCAGAAGTTTTTGAAATTACTAATATAATGTGATACCATCGTATTTAATCAATTCATTTATATATTGCATAGTTCTCTTAACTTCTTTAGATATATTACACATGAAGAAAACAAAAGGTCACAGTGATTAAATTATGCTGATTATATTTTGTTTCCCTCTTTTGATCCCGTTGGGTTTATTTATAATACTTAGGGTTATAAAAAGAATACTATACCGCTCAAATATCTTCCCATATTTGTGGATTTTTTTAATATTTAAATATTTTCATTGCATAAATGGAGGATTTGAATATCAATAAAGACAAAGATTTATCTTTAGATTTTAAAATGTTGGTTTTTGGGGCCTCCCCGGTGGCGCAGCGGTTGAGCGCTGGGTTGAGAAGCTGCCCGCGGCCTCTGCGGCGCTGGTTCGATCCCCGGCTGCTCCCCGGCCACCACAGGAGGGTCCCACATGGCGCGCAGACCTCTCCTGCCGCCCGCTGCTCCCCTCAGCAGTGTACTTCGGTCCTTCTGCCTGCTCTGCTCCCCGCTCTGGCTCTGGTGAATTCTCTCACCCTCCCGCGCTTCTGACTGTACCCAATGCATGTATAAACAAACAAATAAATAAATAAATACATAAATAAAAATACATGCCTCTTTAAAAAAAAAAATAAAAAAAAAATAAAATGTTGGTTTTTGGAGAAGTATAGAGACATTCAGTTATCATACAATTAAAAATACAGACTTTTCACAAAATAGTCCTCATTACTATAAATTGTCAGGGATGAAATATGTATGGGAAGTTTTCTTATAGTTAGTTAATTATTGTAAAATGTCTCCTAAACGCTCTTCCAGGTATGCAAAGTTAAATATGTTTAGCTGAAGATTTTTTCCATTCCTAAGATGAAAATAAAAGTGACACTAAAATGATAATAACTCAGCTTAATATACCTAAAAAAGGGTTCTCAGTGCATAGTGACAAGATAGGAAGTCAGCAGATACACCTACGAAGACCTTGGTTCTCCAGAGTGTCTGAAGTGCCAAGAATAACCACCCCGCACGCACTAAGACAGAATGGCAGAGTTCCAGAAATAAACTTCTCTAAAACCGCATCTCACCTTTTATCATTTTAACTCCTTTCCCACATATGTGCATTTGTCTTCTGACCTTTCTCAGATCCTGACAGCCTGCAGCTCCTCCATTAGTAGCAGCCGCCAGAAGTCACCCTGATACACCTGTCACTATTAGTTAAGGATACCATTCAACTTCAAGATAACTTGAATTTTCCTCCTTTTTGCTTTATGGCTCCCTCAATGAAGGGTCAAAAGACCACTTGTAGCAAATAACCAAGCGCAGAATTGGTTGCTGAAATATTTCATTTCACTAAGCCATGAACTCCCACACCAAACTTGTTACTGCTATTTGTCACACATTTACCACATGGGTCTCCCATCTCAAAAAACTCTTCTCTCCCCTAAGTCCAATGTTGTCATGAAACAAAACTGTTTGTCAGATCCCACACCACAATCTTCAGAGGATAAGTAGGCTGAAATTCATTTTTATAGGCCTTATTCTCTTAGGGGACTGAGAATCCGTGAGAGCAACTAAAGCTGAAAAAGGTCTCTCCTGCCTCTCCACCACCGGCACGGCAGCTGTTAGCACTTCTGGTGTCAAGGTACAAATGTCAGGAAGGTACTGTCAGTAAAGTAACACCCATGGAAAACAGTCTGGCAGTCTGGCTGGCCGCCAGAGCCTGTAATCATCTCGTTATACACTGCTTGGAGCTGGACTTCTGTTATCACTGTTGCCTCCAATGGCTCTTAATTGAAGCAGAGGGATTTGTTTCACATCAATGGAATGAAAGGGTATTTTTTGATTTTGTTAAAAAGCATAATTTCGAACTTGAAGACTAACTGAAGTGCTTAGAATATTACGGTTCAGCTTTCAGTAATTCATAAACAAGTGTGTCTGGGGAAGAAAGAGTTCAATTATAATGTGTTCCCCAAATCCCCAACCCAGAGTTTACCTTTGCAAAGAGAGTGCATTTGAAAATGTCTTCAAATAGGTGAGAACTGTAAAAACTAATACTTTGATTTTATGAGTCTGAGATGAAATTAAATAAAATAACATTTTAGGTGGAAACTATCACTGAAGTTTTAAGAAACTCCAGAACTTGCTATAAAATGGATAATGTTATTATACCTTGTCTTTAGTGAAACACTGATTTCATTTTCCTATAATGTCACAAAAACTAAGGAATGGTACAGAGATGCCATTCTTCAGCGCTTGAATATGGCAGACAGCCTGGCATCATCAGTTGCTCTATGACTTGCAGTTATCACTGGCTTTAATCTTGCATGTGGTAGTTTACCAACCAATTTTCAACATCTACAGAATATGCCCTGGGCCTTAGAGCAAACTTGTGGACACTGACTGGAGACACTGTGTCCAGAGCACACAATCAGAAAACATTGAGGTCCCTCTAGAATAAAAATGACACTCACTTCCTTTATCATCATATTAAAATAAAAAAATATGGATGTTGCTTTTTCAAGTTCTTATTTCATACTTCTTTATGCATATGTACACATTCCCATGAGGTACCCAAATCCATTTATTTCCCTACTATTTTATCATTCTGCCAAAACTATTGTTAAGGTTACAAGCAACCTTCTAAGTGAAATAAGTAAATATGAAAAGACTAATTTTGAAAAGAACATGTCCTTGCAGTATACTGTCTGTCAGTGTGGCCCCCTCCACTGTCTAATTATGAACGTCAGGGGTCTTTTTCAAGGATTTAGCTTCTAAGCTCCTCAGCATCTGATCAGTATGTCGACATGAGCAGCGCTGGCTCTGATCCTCATTATTTTCACATTACTTCATTACTTTCACTTTTTCACCATTACTCGTTTTTCTTATGGCTTCTTCATCCAGGAAGTTTGTAACAAAAGCATAACTAAACAAAATAAAATATAATGCTTACCCATTTTTAATTTGAACTATTTCCATGAGACTTACTCTATCCTGAAATTATAACCCCAAAATAGGTGTCTAATCTGCACCCTCTTTGCCACCTTTGTCACTAATTTTCTGCCTGGTGCTTTTTTCTCCTGACAATGGCATCGGCTTCTTGATGGTTTTTCCTGCCCTTTTTTCTCTCACTGTCTCAATCAGTGCAGTCCTTTAAATTATAACAAGTTTTCTTCCTGAATAACAAACTTGCAGGGCCATGCTTGTTAACTAAGTTAGCTGTAGGACTCCCTTTCCCAGAAAATAATGTTCAGAAACTTAACCAGAGGCTACTTATGATCCACATTTTGTTCCCAACTTCATTATCTGATAGTCCCCTACGTTCTCCATTTAACATTCTCTTCATTTCATTCTTCCCTGACAGAAAAGTACTCTTCACCCTGGCTAGAATAGACAACAGCATCCCCCAGATTTATTCACTCCCCAGTGGTTTGTGGT